TTTTGAAATTCGCCCACCCATTCCGCAACCTTTTTGGCGTCCATTAGATGGATCCTACCATTCTTTCACATGCGTAGAAGTATTAAGAAATTATTCGAGTGCCAATAATTTAATAATGCTTATAGCATTAAACAGAAAGGACCGGGAAAACAGAAGTCGTGTAACCTACCCCATGTAGTTGGGATAAGGCTTGGATGATGATGATAAAAGCATTAAGACATTGTGACCACATATTATTTGAAATAATGTGGATGTGCCAGATTATAATTACAACTAATAATGTTTTAAGAGGTAGAGGCATGGGCCGAGGCTTTAAGATCTTTCTGTGTTTGACACTTAAGCCTCAATGTGGAGAGGTTTAAGCCTCAGGAGATCTCATTCTTTCAAGAATACTTGGTCACAGACAGGAATAGTTTTATACAAGAAGATTGTGTTCTTCATATAAACAAGGAGCACAGAATACTAAAAGCTTAAAGAAGCTATATTCTTGTAAATCCTTCAATGCTGTTAGAAAGCTCTTAAATTTGAAGTAAACCTTAAACGTGTTAGACAATCTACAGATATAACAGATTACAAAAATACACAAGGAAAATGTGGAATTGTTCTATAAATCAGTGTTGTTATGAGAATCCTGCTTCAATTAATGTATAGAATACATGCTGTTGATGTAAGGCTTGTGTATTGTACTTTTATATATGAGCCTCAAGGTTGAGCTTCAGGGCGTTTTACTTAATCTTCGGATCGACGTTCACACTCCTTTTAGAACACTGGAAGGAAACCAAATATGTTTCTCACTAGCAAAAATAGCTAGAGACTTGAAGATCAACTAATTGAACACGACAATTCAGGTGAAGAACATCAAACATCCATAGAGACCAGATGATCAGAGTGATTGCATTAAAATTCATACTAGCTATCTCTCTTGATATAAATTCCACCTTAAATTGCTAAGATAGACAGAAATTCAAATGGAGACCAGCTCAATTTACCGTTCTGCAGATAGGGACCGTATTCAGTGGCGGAGAGGTGCATCTTGATGTCGTCGAGGGTTTCGCACTGGCACAAATTGTTGTAGTCAGAAGCCGTGAGAAGGCTAGATCTGTGGCCTCGGACGACCGCTTCGAGATATCCGCCATGGATATTGAAAGTTAGAGCTTCGAAGCCGTACATCTTAATCCTCAATAGAGAAGGAACCGAGAAGGGAGTCCTGGGAAAGAAGCGATCTAAACGATTTTGCAGAGGTAGGTTTCGTAAGAGCCGCTCGGAGCAGAGGGTCGGAGACTCGGAGCGTGATGGATACGTCGGTTTTGAATTTTGATAGCCTCTCGCCTCTTGTTCACGGTTGCCGTGCGAAGTTGATTTTTATGCCGCTGCGGCTGGTAAATCAGTTGCTTCGTGTAAAATGGACGGGTGGAGTGGAGATGGGTGTTGTGGGTAACCGACGCAACCCACACCAGTTGGTTTCCGCTCTAACGTGTTGCACGGTTGAACCGGGTCATTTTTTGATGAGTTCACGGGTCCAACAATTAAACCGTCGGTTAAACCGATAAATCAATGATCCAATAATTTTTTGGTATACTTACTAGCTGCTACGGTGCTCATTTGGTTCGATTTTGATTTTTCTTTGCAAAATTTCAGATTTCAGCTATAATTCCGTTTGAGTTGAAAAAATTTAAAAAACCGACGAAATTAGTTCGGTTTCTAAAATATATTCATGGTTCGATTAACCGAGCTCAAACAAACAGTCATGTGGTATCCTGGTCCAATAACAAAGAAACAAAAGATGTAGTGTCACTCAGGTTCCAAGAAAGTTCATTTGCATGGTTTTGGTAACGAGTTGTTTTGGGTAAATTGCGGACGGCCACCCTGTAATCGAGGGATAGTGATAATAAGGTTAAGACTATAACGGATCCACGTCCGATTATCATATCGAAATTTTGGATCAGATTCGGTTTTAAATTTATTTTTAATTTATAATAAATGTATATAAATATAATATATTAAATTTATCAATTATAAATTATATAAAATAATTTTTATTAGACTTAGGATTTTATGGAATCTGATGGGATTCCCTAAACCTTTGGATCCCAGCACTTTACCCTTGCTATACGACCATATCCTGATTTGTAGTCATTTGATCTGTTAAAAACTGGATCTAGTTAAGAGTGATTCAAATTTGATCTATTTATAAATGGATAGAATACGAATCCACCTCTATTCAGTCGAATCAGTCCAATATTATCTGATTTAATTTGATTTAAACATATGTTTATATACTTAAAGTTTATATTTGCATTAATCAATAAAGTTGGTTTGAATGTTGTGTTTTCACTTTTTAGTAGAGTCAAATGGTCAAAGGCTCAGGTTTTTTTTTTTTTTTTATTTGCCAAAAAGAAAAAAAAATAGTACAAATACAAATATATTCAGTGCAAATAGATCTTGTCATTTTCATGAATCTTGTATATTTGTATTTAAATTAAATATATTTGTATTTGCACTCTTCCCAAATGGAGCCTAGGACTTAAAAAGATGACATATGAAATCCAGGGAGGGGTAATATTAGATTTGCTCCCCTCTTACATACTTTAGTAGCTACTTCATGAGCTATATGATTATACCGTCTGTTTTGCAAATAAGGGTGACCATTATTTGCTTAAAATTGAAAAACCAAAACCGAATAAAAATTTGGGTTTTGGTGTCTGTTTTCAAAATTAAATCTTTGGTTAACAAAAAGAAGAAAAAAAATACTGAATTAACCAAATTAAATCTTTGAAAAATTTGGGTTATGAAATTTGGTTTTGTAATATATTTATTATAATATATAATATATTATGTATATTATTGAAATCTGATTTTAACCAAAATAACTGAAAACTAAACCAAAATTTTCGGTTTCAATTATTGTAGCAATCATGGTATTTTAAATCTAATTTTTATATTCTCTCTTCACGTTTTTTTGGTCAGCAAATTGCACATTTCAAAGAGAAATGAAACTAATGAGGAAAATCATAGACATATGCACAAGAAGGATTATATTTTTGTATATTACCCAAGACCTGTCAGCCAGAGACCAACTCCGGCAGGAAGTAACTTAGAACTAACTTTGATGGCTACTATCTTGGTTATCCTGGAGTGGAGACTCAGGTATTGGTGGTGTGGTTAAAGATGAAGAGGGAAGAATTCTTCTGATTTTTTCAGGATCTATGGGATTTGGAAACTCCTTGAGGGCCTGAGGTTATGGCCATAATTCAAGTAATGAAATTATCTAACAAGTAATGCTGGAGAAATATGACCACAGGTGACTGTCAAGTAACCATTTTCTGCTGATTTTTGGAGACCCATTGGACATGGACACTCTTTGAGGGATGGGGTTATGGCCACAATTCAAGGACAGGCACTATCTAACCACCAAAACTGGAGAAAAATGATCACAGAAGGTGATACTATCAAAGTATTAAGTGGCCATTTTGTGGGTTGGATAAGAAGAACCTTCTTTGAAGCTTCTATTTTTAGTGAGAGAAGCTAGAGACTTGGGAAGAAATCTAAATTGATCGTTCAGGTGGATTCCTAGACCGAAATGGTTTAGAAAAAGCTGGTGTGACAAGGCAAGCATTTGATTGGGGTCAGCTTAACTGTAATCTGTACACCAAACAAATAATGTTTTTGTAGGTCAGCTAAATGCTATTCTTCTATTGCCCTTGCTGTCTATTTTTAAAATTTGGTTCATTTTTATTAAACGAAACTCTTCATTGTTACTTGTCAAAAAAATTACTGCCCAAGTGCTCATTTGTCAGCTACTAAATTGCTATGTATACCAAATGGAATAGAAAAGAGAAATGAGACTATTCATTTCTCAAATCTAGGACAATGATATGAGTATCCCATCCAATATGATAATACCATGCTTTTGCTTTTGATGCGTACGAACTTAGGCTACGTTTGGTAACGATGCAAATAGAGTGAAAATTTCGGTTTAGGGTAAATTTGCATTTTTGTTCATTTTTGCTTGTGTTTGACAGCATTATATTTATGCATTGACAAATGACAGACCAATGCATATTTACATTGATAATAAGATATAAAAGTACATCAATAAAGAAGAAGTAAATTTGCATTCAAGTGGGCTTTTGATAAAAAAAAAAGTATATGCTTTATTGGAATTCATGTTTGCATCCATTACAACTAAAAGTCTGTTTGGTAAAAAGGTAAATTTGTCAGTACAAAACTAACCTAATTTTGCATTTTATATGAACTGCTTTACACTTTACATATTTACATTCATACTTATTTGCATTATTTCCAAACGCAGCCTTAAACTCAATTTGGTAAGAGTACGAATACAAATATATATAGTACAAATATGTACAAAATATAAGATTTTGCACTCTAGATATTTGTATTTGTACTCCTTGTCTCCTTCTAAACTAAGCCTTTATCACATTTTGTGTATGTATTCTGCCGAACATAGTGGTACTCCTGATACTTCTTAAATTTTACACAATGATCCTTGTTAGTGAATCATACTGCTTTTGTATCTTCATTGATAAACTACAAGCTATGAATTTAGAAAACATATGTTCTCTGGTTGATCTGGGAGGTGGAATTATCAGAGTGAGACCAATTTTTTTTTGTTTTTTTGCAGGCTACAGTATATTTCAACAGTATTAACTTTGAGGAGAAGCGGCGAGAGCAGATTGACATGCCAGTAGGTAAGGTTCAAAATATCGATATACCCGATATGTCGGTAGGGGCATATCGGGCAAATTGATACTCATTCTTATTGTTTTTTTATTTTTTATTTTTTCGCAATTGGTTCAGGGGGACCAATTTATGACTTCTCTACCCCCTGAACCAATCAGACCTCCAATACACCCACTATAGAGATGTATCGGGCTGATACATATCGATACTTTAAACTTTGCCAGTAGGTCTCTTGCCCCCTTTATAATACTGTTAATAATATCATTTATGCGAGTAATGATGTAATTCTGTCGCAATATGCAGGTCGTCTTCTATATTGACCCTGAATTTGAATTTGAGACGGACCCTAGAATGGATGGTGTCAACAACTTGATCTTATCCCTACACCTTTTTCAAAGAAGGCGAAGAGTATATATTCTGTCTGTATATGTATTTCCAGTGATAGTGGCTAACTTCCCATTTTTGGCATTGCAGGTACTTGGTTAAAAAAAGAATATTGGCAGATTGTTTTGCAATTCAACTTTTTACCGATAATAACAGTCGTATTCCTCATTTTGTAAGCATTTGATGCTGTTGTATGCAAGGTTCAAAATTTCGTATCGGCCGATACTCCCGATATGTCCCAACAGGGGGTATTTCAGGGTTTAACTCGATTCAGAGAGTAGACAGGTGTCTTAAATCGATCCCTCTGAATCAGGTTTAAAAAAACTAAAAAAAGAAAAATCAATTTTGATATAGCCTGATACTCCCCTACCAGTGTATCGGTTGTATTGATATTTTGAAACTTGATAGTATATACTTAAATTAATAATTGAATCATAGTTTTGAAAATTGGACCAGCTGACCCAGGAACTGGTTGGAAACTGGTTGCACCAGTTCTGTTTAATCCTAAAACCACTCCTGGGCCAAAAACAGTTGATTTGGTCAATATCCCACTGACTCAGGAAATCGAACAATCAATCCATCAATCCGAACAATGGCTTTTGGCCATTTTTTTACTTTAATTAATTTTTTTTATTTTTTATTTTTTATAATCAGAATGAGCCATCCGTTCAAACCAGATGGTCAACCCATTTGACCTAGGAACCGGTCCCTAAAACGACTATGTCCGGTCTGATTTTTAAAACCTTGAAGTGAATGACCCATCTTTTTGGGAGGGGGACCCGAGGGGGGGGGGGTATTGTGATCTTATGATGATAAGGTCTTCTCTGAAGTCCAATTCCAGGGACATGGAGCCATGGTTATTGAGCTAAATTGAACTCCAAACGATGGAAAGCTAAAGCATAATTTGCTCAAGAAATGGTTTTTCATGAGTTCATCAACGGGGAGATAGGCATAGGCCTTTGTTTTCCAGTTCATTATGGGCTGAAGCTGGCTTAATAACTGTCCTTGGGATCCACGCCCAAGTACCTTGCGCATGGACGTCATGCAAACTTTCATCGCCATTCATAAAAGAAAAATGCTTTATAAGCATTAAGCATGTTAAATTATCAGGTGAAAGATTCCTTTGGCTTATACATGGATGGAAGGGTAATAATATCCAGCTATGTTGTGAACTCAAAGCAAAACAAAGAAAGCTCAAAGAGGATTAGAGTTTCTTCTTCTGTCAGCGAAGGTCAAAAAGACTACAATAATTCAGAACATGCAGTGATCCCCATGGTCAGCTTGATTAGTTTCATACAGTGGCTTTACCAAATTCATGCAGAGTCGGAGATTTTGCCGGAGATTTGGTGTTATGGAAGCTAGAGCAGCTGCCAACCTTTGAAGTAGATCTGTGAAGCTTCACAAGAGGGACTAATGACTGCACTACATCTGTCATCAGAGGCCTGTAGTCTGCCTCGGATTGCACGCACATAGCAGCGATGGCAGCCACTTGAACAACTTCCTTCATTGAGTATTGACCTTCCAAGGCAGGATCCATAATCTGTACGACCTTCTCTCTGTCTGTGAGTCGTGGCAAAGCCTTTTTTTTGCACATGCAAGATCAATAAAAACAAATGAGTATGCAATTAGATTCCTGGTTTAATTTAAAATAGTACGATGAAAACAGGGAAGAAAACTGAGCAGAGAACCTGACTATGAATGCAGGTTATACGAACAGCCAAGAACATACCCAAGATACCAGAACTCCTTCTCCGGAAGGCCTTTTCATGTCAACTGGCACTCTGCCTGTGAGCAACTCCAATAGCACAACTCCATAGCTGTATACGTCTGATTTTGTAGTCAGGTGCCCGGTTAATGCATACCTATGCAGGAAATAAACATCCAATCTCAAAGTTAGGTAGCTTAACATGACAGGGAGCTCTTCTCTTTAAGAATATCATTTAACAGAGAAAAGCAATACTAATACTATTACTAACACTAATCTTAGGTGCATGCATTTCTAAGCTTCACAAACTTAGAAACTAAACAAAAGGGGGGAATAAAATAGTTACATGTGGAGAACTTTTTCTCATGCTATTCATAAATAAACCCCACCCAATGCAAATTTTCAAGTTGAAGAAAGGTAAAGAGAAAACAATGTCAATCATATGATGAAAGGAGATGTTTTTAATTATTCCCAGAGCTAACAAGTTTTTTCATAATGTCTTCCTTACTCGGGAGCGACGTATCCCTGGGTACCCAACACACGGGTGGAAACATGCCCACCAGCTTTGTCAGATCCTAGCTTGGCCAATCCAAAATCAGAAACTTTTGCATGAAATGACTTGTCCAGGAGGATGTTGCTACTCTTAAAATCTCGGTGAATCACAGGGGGACTGACATGTTCATGGAGGTATTCCAGGCCTTTAGCAGCTTCCAATGCTATTCTCAAGCGGGTCTCCCAGTCCAACTTTGAAACACCACCACTATTACCTGTAAAGCTAAATTAGACCATAATATTTTAACTAAAATTACTTGGCAACAAGCACAGTTCATGGGATCCAAGTCCAAAACACCTTTATTAATTGAACAAATAAATTGTCTACAAGTAAAACTTAACTACAAAGCAAAAGACAGACTTGATGATGTTAACAACACTCTCTCATCAACAGATAATATTAACCATGTGCATTATGTACATTTACCTGCAAAAAAAGACTAGTATATAACAAATAAAGAAAACATTTGGATAATGTCCATGTACATCCTTGAATTGGAACACGTCCATAGATAAATTTGTGATTGGAAGCTGCATCAGACCCGAGGATATAGGCATATAGAAATGATAAGATTCCTTTAGGCTGTGTATGGTTTGGGGTGGAAAAGTAAACCACGGATGGAAATGGAAAAAGAGATCTGCTACTCTCCAGACAAAGTGAAGTTTTAGCTGTGTTTTGCCTTGTTTCCACCTATGTTACATGGGTGCCATACCCTGGTCAGACATGTATCAATACCAAGGCAAGACTTGAGGGGACACTTGGATTTGTCATACTAGTAACATGCCTATACAACCTGAAACATTTATGATAAAATTTGGACGTGGCAAAATTGTTGAACAAGTCCTTCAATCTTATTTTTTTCAGGCTTACTGAGTCTGACATCTCACAGCTGTGTTAGATTCCAATACTTCAACCCGCTTTATTGGGGGGCAGTCATTCCAAATGCTCACCAATTTTCACTTGTACCCATTTTTCCACTTCCACTTCTGGACTCAAACACAGCCTAACTTCTGATCCTGTGTTGAATGTATTTGATGTAATCCGTTACATAGCACTTCAAATTGAGGTTTTGTAAATAAAGGCATATAGCTGTAACAAACATTTCTTGAGGAATAGTTTTTTGTTCCAAATAGCCTCGGGTTGTCTCCTTGTACATGATTTTGAGATGCTAGTAGAGTTGTGGTCACTAGATAGGTTTTGGGATTTTTCTATGGCTTTTTTTCTGTTTCCCATTAACAGTTTAATCTTCTATTTCCTATGCACAGGAGGAAAAAGAAGGTTTGTAAAAAACCACCTGGATATCCATTGGATAACTTAAAAGACATGTAAATAGAAGTTCCAGGATGATGCTTAAATAATAAAAATGCAGGGAATGATCAAGCCGGAATATGAGTCTTTATGGATCAATACATGTAAAAACTAGTTCTTTGTTGCGAAAATGGCTATGGAAGTCTAACACAGTAGCTGATAGCCTGAGGAAGGGCCATAGTGCCAAATATGCAGCAAGGAATTTGGGCTGAGACAAAATAAGGACAAAACATGGTGGCTTATTGTGGGAAGGATAGATAAAGTTACCTACATTTAAAACGTTAAAGGCACCAAACAAGTAAGTCTGGATGGATCCCTGGTGTGATCAGACTCCTCTAATGGTGCTGCCTCCACTACTTGAAATGCCAGAGCACAAGGAGGGACTAGTATGCAACTGTTAAAGGTAAAGAAGGCCATTTAGTCTCCTCATTTTAGGCAGAGTCTCAATGGCCAATAAATCAAGGGGATATTTGATACCGTGGTCAGTAGAAGTGGCAACATTTGTACTTGCCTTGGAAGTTGGGAAAGTGTTCAGGCTTTGCACATAACCCAATGCACATTTGCTTATTGTTGTTTAATACACCTAGGCACCATTAGACACGACATTGGGACACCAGATGCGAAAATGCCCCTAGGAGCAAGAAACCTCAAAAAACTGTTTCTACCAAAGGCCACTTCCACATAAACTAAGGTGAAAGAAGGTAATAACTGATTCTACTTGAATCAGCCCAACCAAGTAAGATTTTGGTTTTTAAGTAAAATCAAAACGTCTACATGGCACTTATGTGGTGACGTTTCCTAGTACCAAACATATACTTAGTCCAGCCACACATTTACCTATGGTTCCAAGTGTCAATATGATAAATCTTGTATGTATCATATTGGATTTCAGGGTATGCTAAATCTTGAGAGTTAGGACATCTGGCCACCTTTGAAGGGTAATACCCCTCGTCCCCTCCTAAAGATGTCCTGGCTCAATTTTCAAAATCTACCTACTTTACAAGTGTATCACCCCTTTGATTGCATATCAGGTGTATGGATACTTTGAACCTTGCATCTACCAAATCAATGGAAAACCTCCAAAACTGCAGAATAAACCCCAATCTTGGGACCATAAGGGGATCTTTTAACTTGACCTCTTATTCAACCCTGTTTCTTGCACTCCAGATTGACCAAATGATCACAGAAGGGATATTTTCTCCAGATCAACTTTCATTATCAATTTTGCTTTCTTACTTGGCTTCTTTACATTCCAGCATCGTAGGAACTGCAATGTGGAATTCCTGATAAATATTCACAAAGAGTTCTGGTGAGACTAGACTGCAGGAATGAACAGTTTCTTGCGAGGCCATCTGTTATGGACGCATTCCTCAGGAAAAAGTATCATCGCCGCCGGCAGCAACAGGAACCTGACCCACCGCCAGCAGCAGCAGTGATTCAATGATCCTCATCCTACCCAGTTCGGCAACAGCAGATTAGATTAGATCATCTTGCTTGTTCTTATCTTAATTGTTCTTATCTTATTCTATTGCTCTTATCTTATCTTATTAGTGGATTATCAGATTAGGATCAACTTATCTTATCCTTAGCAAAGATAGAACTGGAAGTCTCCCTATTCAGCAAGGAGACTCCCTAAGATTAGGACTCTTGTAATCTCCTATTTAAGGAGACACCATTATTGAATGAGATATCGAATATTCAGTTAAAGAAGTGAGTTAGGAGAGTTGGTGATCTCTTGAACAAATCACCAAAGGCACCAAGATAGGTTCATCAAGAGAAGGAAGGAACAAGGGAAAACATGAGGTTTTCCCCGTGGACCGACCCGTGACGAGATCCTATTCTCGGGCCCTCAACACCATCTCCAAGCACAACTCAGTAATCCCTTTAGATAAGACGCCTTCTGCTCTTTACACTTAATTAAGACGAAACGTAAGAGCTCCACTAGAGATTATTAGGTTATGAGTTCCAAGCTGTATCCAAGAGATAGTGCTAACTAAATGGTGCTTCATTGATTTGATCATGTTCCTTTCTTTGATATGCAATTCAAAATTCGCTATGCCCATACTCCATATATGTAGAATATTTACATTAATGGTCAAGCAGAAGGACGAACGTTTCATCATCATTACATAGAACGCATCTTCCATATTTGAACAGTGAAAGAACAGATAAAAAGAAGCGAAGTTAACCACTAAGAAGAATAAAAAATAAAAATTTACCATTTTTATCAGGATAAAGATGTTCCTGCAGTCCTCCATTCGCCATGAATTCATAAACCAGCAATTTATGGTCATTGTCCGAACAGTAGCCAAGCAAAGCAAGCAAGTAAGGATAACGAAGACGACTCAGAAGCTCCACCTATCAATTAGAAGAACTAACAGTTGAGCAAGCAAAAAAGAACCCATACGAAAAATGTAAACAAAATACAAGTATGAAAAATCTTGAACCTCCATTTTGAACTCCTCTTCTCCTTGTTTTCCTGCTCGATCCATCAATTTAACAGCAATCTTCCTCCCATCCGAAAGCACTCCCCTGTAGACCGACCCAAAACCGCCATGCCCAATGACATTAGACTTCCCAAAGCCACTCGTCGCAGAATGTAACTGCTTATAAGTGAAGAGCTGAAGTCCTTTCTCAGTTGCAACTTGCACGGTTGCATAACCACCCTTCTCTCCGTACTCCTCACTCCCTTACAACCAGAAGAAATTAACCAAAAAATTAAGCTTAAAAGAGAAAACGAAAAGAGGGCTCCAAGTTATAATAATGCAGACAGAAAAGAAATTGAAACAAATAAAAAAATATGAAAAATGGAAAAGGGTTCGAACTTCTCTGCTCCTTGAGGCGTTTGGCGACTTTATTTCGAATGTAGCAGTAGTAGCTGAAGGCGACGAACAACGAAACCACGGCCAAAGCAGCAAGGACGACGATAACCACAAGGGCAATGCCCTCTTTCCTCCTGTCCTCGGTATCTCCTTCCATCACCAGGAACCAGACAAAGAAACAACCCAATAAAACCCTACCTCACGCACCCCCTAGAAAACTAATTACAGAAGAAGGAGAAGGTGTTGCCGTTCCCAAGTACTTCGAACTTCGAACTTCTTGGGTCTTGACGAAGAAAGCCCAGTTTCTCCCTTGAGTTTCCTTTTCTTGAGTGGAAAACAAGAGGAAGAGCGGCAATCTTTTCGATTTGATTCGACATAATAGACAGAGTGACAGATGGAGGATTTTAATACAGTAATACAGTAATGATAAAAAGGAGGGAAAGACAAAGGAATCCAATCCCCGAGGTTCAGATATGCTCCAGAAAGCCTGCAACACCACCAAACAAAACAACACTACTAGTGTCCGTGCGTGAATGTGTGCTTGAGACTGTGTCTAAGAATCTGAGCTGGAGAGGAGACGCGGTCACTGGGGCCTGGCCCTGGTAAGCACTGTTTGGCTTCTCTCTCGAAGTGGAAAATCATTTTAATCTGCATGAGCAGATTCCATAATGGCCAATTTCAACCATCATTTGATATAAGGACACGTGGTAAATAGTGTGAGTGGGCCCTCTATTCTGTTTGCCTGAATTTTGTATTTATGAAATGATTACCTGCCCACCTAAATCTTTTACTCTTCTGGTCCAGTACATGCTGCATTTGTTATGTGACTCTGTGGCAACAGTTGATCTCAACCGTCTATTCTCTGAGTGACCAGGTGCAACGTTTAAATGACAATCCTTTGATAAGTGTAGTCGTACATATAATAATTTTTTTTTTTTTAAATTGGTCATCCAATATTTACACCTGGCAATTTAATTAAAGCCAAAAGGCAACTTCAACCTTAAAGCACTTGTCACGTGTTCAATTGATTCTTTTTCATGTGTTTTATATTAAAGTGCTGTACCATATCTGCTATGCGTAAAATCAAAATTTTCAACCAACCAACCAACCTTCCTTAAGGCACTTGCCACATGGTCATTTTATTTCATTATTTCACGTTTCAGAAGTTGCAGTTTATTATTTCATGGATCATAGATTTGCATTTATATCAACGGTATGTTTGTTTGTGATACAAATTTGAACCAGATACATGATTGGTAGTTTGGTACCTAATTCAGTTTTGCATCTATTTATTTGTAACTATGATCTACATTCTTATTTGATACAAAATTTCTATCTTTTTCATTTTTAATCTCTATCGGTGAAAATTATATATATATATATATATATATATCCAAAAATCTGGTGCAGAATTTACACCACCTTCATCATACCAGCAATATTCTCTCTCATATAAAGTGGGGACTACATAATTTAAATGACCCTCCTCTTCATATTTTAGGGATTTTCATTGATTCCCCGATCTCATAAACCAAATAGATTTTTAAATTTTAAAAATCTATAATTAAAAATGGCTGAATTTTTGGACAGGTAATTTTCAAAATCATAATTATTCACAGATAATATGTCGTCTTGTATTATTTGTAAAATTTTCTGTTTCTTTAAATAATTAGGTTGCATTTTTTTCCTTTATTAAGATTTGGAAGGAGGGGTTAAGAATAGCTTGACCTTGGAAATCATCAAACACAATCCTAATTAAGCTAAGAAAGAAATTCTTCATACCCACAATTAGATTTGATCACAGTGATAACCTAGATTAATTAGGTCATATGATTGCCAAATCACTATTGTACAGAAACTATAGTGTCACCCATGGTATAACGTGGCCAAAGGGGTTGCCACATGGAAACTTGAAACCATTTTAATGAAAATTCAAGCTCAACATATTCCTTCCGATAATTTTCATGGGAACCCACCCTCCTCTTGGAGCCATCCATGGGCTACGCTTGGGGGTAAGGCCCACATGTTGGCATAGCCTGTGGTCCATAAGGGCCCATGTCAACACGGCCTGTTAGCCTTGGGGGGCCTTAAATGACTTTAATTGCCCCCCTCCTAATAACTATAAACAACTACTTTGGGTGACACTTTGGTCAAGTGATAAAGAAACTCTTATAAAAACTCCAAAAGATTAAAATATCCTTTCAAACAACTTTATATAGTTAGATTGAGAGGGTATTTTGGTCAAATTTTCTCATGTTTAAAGAATTAAAAAATTTAATCTTTTAGCTTGGTGGAAAGCACATAACAGAGTATTAGATTTTAAGAGAATCTATATGATAGATGAAACACTGAAAGGACAAAATTTGTATTTTTTAGACCCATGAATTTTGATAAATGACACTTAATTCGCGACCATGTTTATGATTCCAATTTATTGTTCAGTTGTTTTTTCAATATCATATTTTTTCCATATCATAGTCGAACCCTACATTTTATATTATTTTGTATGTATTTATACTGTATATATTTGTATTTGTATTCCTTCTAAACTGAGCTAAAATGACAAAATATGATATTTCTATAAACCCTATTTATTTATGATTTAAATGGGCTTTGTGGCAATGAAGTCCATGACACTCACATTGTTATTGCAAAAAGAAATTCTCTTGATAGTGGCTTTCTAAGGATGGCTCTCACATTGAGGTTGTGTTTGATACAATTGCTGTTTCTAACTGAAACTTTTTGCTGTTTCATACAATTGTCGTTTGAGTATTTTTATGGTTGGAACAGGCATACCCTAAAAATGCATATGCTGAAGGCTGCTTGTAGAAACATCAAATTGATATTTTAGGTAAAAGAAACAATGATCGTTCTAATTGAAGTGACTCATATGTGATGTATATCTCTCACCAATCGGTATTGATCAACCCAAAACGTTTAAGGTAGAAATATCAATTGTACCAAATACAACAGGAGTAATATGTTTATCACCCATTGGCTCCAAAATATAAGAATTTCATAATATTTTTGTTTAAATTCTATTTAGGGCTTACCCATAGATGGCATGCTGATTAAACTGTGTCTCTTTATTTTAAAGATACATTGAATGCAGGTAGGAGTGTCAATGGACCAGGATTGGGTTGGACCTGATCTCAATCAAAATCAATTTGAATAGATTGGACACACCAATGTGACATTGAATTAGACCAGTCCGGACTTAATGATCCAAAGTATTTATTAGATTGGAGACCTGGTCTATTTGTAATGGATTTATATTCGATTGGGTTGGATTGAACCAATATTTGGTGCATTGACATAAGATAAGAGAATGGGTATCAATGGACCAAATTTGGGATGGACCCAATCTAAATTAAATCCAATATGAACCATTTTGACGGTCCAGACATCGAACTGGACCAGTCCAGAAGGGTCTAAAGTATTCATCAGATTAGATTGGATCTGGTCCATCTATAATAGACTCATACTGGACTGGATTTGTTGGACCAATATCCGGTCCATTGACAGCCTAAATATAGGTTCACCATACATCTAAGTCACAAAACTCAAAAATCTTGATACTATTAATTAGGAATGCAACTTGGGTAGGTTCAAATTAAGTATTTGTTAAAATTTGAAGTGCTTCAACCTGAGGTACTCAATGCAGTCATCATCATCCAAGCTTTATTCTAGCTGTATGGGGTCGATTGGCTACATGAATTCCATTTCACCTTATCCATTGTTAAATTATTGGGGCTTGAATACCATACTAGTGTGAATTCTTTAAATATACTGTTTGACTTGCACCCCTACCAAATGAGAATCTACGTACGTACGTTGGATCCGGCAAAAGCAATGCTTCCACTTGGGTTTATCAGTAGTGGAGAAAGATGACAAATAATGAAGGTAAATTGTACGAGACATGGGGGGCCTGTTATTTTCACTTTACACGCACGTTCTCTGAGCATCCAAAGCAATGTTGTAACCAGCATAAAACCAGAATGTGAAATATCATATAACCGGGCCATGGTTTTACTATATATAGATAACTAGTTAACTAGGTGATTAGCCAGAGTTCAAAATGTGAAATGTCATTTAACCGGTACCCTAAAAGGTCACATGGTGGTCACTGGTAACCAGTTCGGTCATCTAGTCTCTGGTCCTGTCTGGCTTACAACACTGATCCAAAGATATGCCGAATGCCTGGTTCGTGGTTTTTAAAATCGACCCGGAGAATAAATTGGTTAGGGGTTTGGCTCTTGGTTCGAACGGATTAATCGTTCAAACTGTCGATCCGTTCTAACAAAGAATAAAAAAATTTAAAAAAAAAATAGTTAAAATCGTTCAATTGGTTCAATCAGTTAATCACCCAGATCAGCGATTTATTGACCAAAATCAACAGTTTTTTAGAAAAATTCAATTTTCTGAAAAAACAGAACTGACTACCTGACCGAATCCCGGTTTTCCGGTCCAACTATCCGGTCCGGTCTGGTTTTGAAAACTATGGTCTGACTTTAACAACCAATGCAATCACCAATCCAAGTATCATGTGTACACGTATAAATATAAAGACAGCTGGTAGACACCCAAGGGTTGAATGCTCTTAGCCTGGTAGACATGTGGTCTCCATGGCATGGGGGAGTAGCTAGACAGAGGTTAGACAAAGTGCAGATCATTTGATTGACTGGTAGTGATGGCAATTTGATCCATCCCCGGCCAGTCTTATCCCGCCTTACGCCGGTTGGGGCGGATTCGGGGAAACCCGAAATTCTGGGATTGGGGAT